GGGGCCCTCTGGCATCCCAAGCCAGTTCTTAACCATCGTGCCACTTGGCCGGCCCTGATTACAAGTTGATAAATACTTGGGGTAAGGGAATTTGGGAGTACAGGGGTGCTGGTGATAGTGCAATTTAAATTGGGGTGGTCTGGCAGACCACATCAGGAAGAGGACATTTGAGCAAAGACTTAAAGGTGACGGAGCTAGTTTAGCAGATATCTAGGGGAAGAGAATTCCAGACAGAGAGGACAGCCAGTGCAAAGGCCTTAGAGCAGGTGTATGCCTTGGTCTCTAAGCAAGGAAGCTGGTATGAATGAGCTGAATGGACAAAAAGAAGATTGGCAGGTAGGAGGTAAGAGGCATAGCATGTAGAGCTTATTTCCATTGTAAGGACTGTGGCTTCTAGTCTGAGTAAAATGAGAAGCCACTGTAGAGTTTCGACTAAAGGGCTAACACAATCTGACTTACCTTTTTATAAAAAGCTGTATTGAAATATGATTCACAGGGGTCAAATATATGGTGATGGAAGAACTGACTCTGGTTGGTGGACATACAATGTGATATATAGATGATGTATTACAAAATTGTACACTTGAAACCTATGTAATTTTACTAACCCTTGTTACCCCAATAAATTTTTTAAAAAGATTTTATTGGGGAATCGGGGAAGGGGACAAGTTGCTGTCCCTTTGTTCTTCAGTCTAGTTGTGGAGGACGTGGCTTCACTGGCCCATGTTGGTATTATCATTGCGCTCTTCCCCGGGTGAGGCAGTCACCCTCTATGGACAGCCCCTCACAGCGGCTCATGGCAGCTCACAAAAGCACAGGTCCGCTGCTGGCCAGCCCCACTGCAGCCCATGTCATCGCCAGCGACTCACGCAGCCCAGCTCCAGGTCAAGCTGTTGTTCAGCATCTTAGCTGTAGTGGGCGCAGCATCACTGGCCCTAATGTGGGATCTGAACCCAGGGCCCTGCTGCTCAGAGCTGGTGTCCCAAGCCAACTCTTAACCAATGTGCCACTCGGCCGGAATTTTAATGAAAAAAATAATAATTGACCTATCATACCATTTACCCACTTAAAGCCTTCATTTGGTTTTTAGTAGATTCACAGAGTTGTGCAATCATCACTGCAATTGCTTTTAGAACATTTTCGTTCCTCTCCAAAGAAATATCTACCCTTTAGCTATCAGCTTCCAATCTCCACCCCTCCACTCCTAGCCCTAATGCAACCACTACTTTGTGTCTATAGATTTGTCTGTTCTGGACCTCTCATATAATCATGGAATCATACACTATGTGGCCTTTTATGTGGCTTCTTTTGCTTAGCATAATATTTTCAAGACTCATCTACATTGTAGCATGTATCAGTATTTCATTGCTGTTTATAGTCAAATAATATTCCGTTGTATGGTTATACCATATTCTATTTATCCATTCACTTGTCAATGAATATTTGGGAGACTTACATTTTTAAGATTTATTTTTAATTGTGGTAAAATACACAAAATATGTAGTTTACCATCTTCATCTTAAACATTTTTAAGTGTACAGTTTAGTAGTGTTAAGTATATTCATATTGTGTACAACAATCTCCAGAACTTTTTAATCTTGCCAAATAAACTCATCAAACACTAAACCCCCATTTCCCCTGCCTCCAGCCCCTAGCAACCACCATTCTACTTTCAATGAATTTGACTATACTAGATTATTTCATATAAGTGGAATCATACCATATTTGTCTTTTGTGACTGGCTTACTTAGCACAATATTTTAAAGCTTCATCCATATTGTAGCATAGGGTAGTTCTTGATAAGATAATGAAGTGAGCTCCTTGTGGTTTTGATTTGCATCTCCCTAAAGATTAGCAGTGTTGAGCAGAGACTTACTTTAAAATGCATCAGTTCATTTAATCTTCATAACTGTCTTAATTGGCTACCCCCATTTCACAGATGACGGTAAAGGTTTAGAGGGAGAGTAAGTTATTTGCCCAACATCCCCCAATCAGTAATAGTGGAGCCAGGATTGGAACTGCAGGACCCCGAGTCCGCAGAGCCGTATTGCACAGCAAAGATCCATAGTCTCCCTCCCTCAACACTTCTCTCTCCTCCGACTGCTCCCCTCAAAGTCCAGAAAAGGGCACAGGTCCCCAGCAAGTCATAAAGTTCCTACATCAGGACACTGCTTGCTGACTCCGCCAGGGCTTCCTCTGGTCAATGCTTTCTCAGGGTGGTCCCCAGAGGATAGCGCTGAGGCTGTTCCCCGCCGAGGCGGGGTGCTTCCTTCCTGTAGGTGGGCACTCCATCTCCTGAGTTTCCGGGGAGGTAGACACCCCGAAATCCAAAGTCCTTAGCCACCTGCTTCCGGCCTCTGTGCGCAAGACCTAAGATAAATCTTCCGTGCAGGGATGCAAGAGGTGAAGGTCCATCGCCAGGTCCNCGACCCAGTGCATCCCTGGCACAGCCACGTCTAGATGTGGGGCGGGACCCAGCAAATGGAAAGGCGTTCGCGTAGGCCACTCGTCTGCTCTTCCCGGGACTACGACCCACATACTCCATCAGGGAGGGCACACCGAGGTTTAACTGGCCTTGGGGCTCCGGGGGCTGTGATTACCCACCAGTGACGGTGCCTGGAGAGGTAGGACCCAGGCGCCTGGAGGCTCTAGTAGACAGCCTGGAGACACGTTAGGCGAGGTACCGCCAGGGAGTTCCTTAGAGGAGCCGACGCTCTATGGGTCCCACCAGCGCTCTCGGAACCGACACCCTCCGCGCCCAGTGGAACTGGGAGGTATATGGGGAATGTGGCCTCACCTGGATGCTTGTCCAGGGGAGGTGGTAAGGACGTGGGGGCGGAGGAGGTCAGGGAGATACGATAGTCAGACCCGGATTTCCTCCCCAGGAATCATCCAGGTGTCCTTCCAAGCTCCAGTTTGGGGGTGGGGGAGCTGGAGCGGCGCTTCTCGCCCTGCCCTTGACCCGGGCCTGGAGGTGGGGCGCAGAGCGGGTGGGACCGAGCGTGAGCCTCCCGCCAAGGACCCAAATTCCGCAGTCTGGTGCGCCAGAGTCGAGTGCGCCAAGCAAATCTTGGCTTCGAGGCTAGCGAGGTTGGAGGCGCCTGAGTTGGACGCCAGAAGACAGACCGCTGGCTTCGCGCACAGAATTGCTGGATGGGCGGCCCTGAGCAAGTCACTCACGAACGGGATCTTGTCTGTAATTTGGGCACAGTAATCCCTCCCATCCCCACCTCACAGGGACATTGAGCTCAAGCGAGACCAAGCTAGGGAAAACGCTTGGTGCCCGGAGCTGCGCTTTATCAGGCGCCCGTGGCGCTGGAGAGTTGAGGTCTCCAGCCTGCAGCCCCTAGGACGCACTTAACGGAGGGACCCCGCGGTCCCCCATTCTTATTTCTCTTTTTTCCCGTTTGTCGCTGATTCTTTCCCGGTCCCTTTGGCGTCTTAGTGTCCTTTCCTTCTCTCTGAGGGCTCCCCCTTCACCCTCGAGTTCCGCCCTCGCCTGGGTGCCCGACCCCTGGGCCGCCAGGGCGCGTACTTACCTGTCTAGGGAGACAGCGGCCAGCGTGAAGCTGCTGGCATGCATGGTGAGGAATATGAGAAAATGCACGGCCTTGCAGAGCAGCGAGCCGAACACCCAGCCGTCCAGGGTGTAGATGGTGGCCTGGAAGGGTACGCAGCACAAGATAAAACACAGGTCGGCCACGCCCAGGTTGAGGATGAACAGGTTGGTGGTGCTGACCGCCTGGCCGCCGCGCAGCAGCACGGCCAGCACCAATGCGTTGCCCACGGTGCCCACGAGAAAGATGAGCGCGAATAGCATGGGCACAATGACCGCCTCTGGCTGCCAGCTGCCCCCGCCGCCCGCCTCACTCGCGTTCTCGGGCCCAGGGCCACCCGAGCCATTCATGGTGCCGCTGAACCCTAGACTACCCGGGCTCCTGCAGCCGTCTGGGTCTTGGCGAGCGCGCGGCTTCGGCGGCTCCAGCCACCGCAGCGTCCAGCGCGACTCCGCGGAGCTGCAGGCGAAGTGAGCTTCGCCGCGGCTGGAGCTGGAGACCGGGATGCGCTGGGGTCAGAGGGAGGAGCGAGCAGCTGGAGGAGTGGGATGGTCCCCCGAGGCGGCTGGCGGAGAGAGAGGAAGGGCTGTTGAGTGGCCCTAGAGCGTCCCAGCCGAGGCCCGGGCAGTCCACCCCGGGGGGCGCAGGAGTCATCGGCGTGCTCCAGCCCCTGGATCCGGGCTGAGGGGCGAAGCGACCTCCTCGGCAGACGCCGGAGTAATGGAGGGACTGACCGTCCCGACCTGCGTATGGGTCGCGCTATTGGGAGCGCCTTGCTGGGACCCTGCGCGCCTCGGCGCTTCCCTGCAGCCTGTCGGGCGCGCCCGACCTTCCGGAGCAGGCTGGGAGACGTCCTCGGAAGATTTCCCGGCGGGTCCTAGGGGGCGAGGGGCCGCGGTTTTCCAGAACTGGCGAGTGGGAAGGCACTACCGTGTACTCCACGCCTCCCTATTTCTACTTCCCAGCAGCACCGCGCCTCGGGAATCCCCGAGAGCCCTGTGCGGAGCGCGCAAAGAGGCTTCTGAGGGAGCTTGGTTAGCTTCGTCTCATTCCCTTCTCTCCCCATTGAACGTTTCTCCCTCCAATTCAATCCATAAATACGGAGCATTTCCTGTGTGTCAGGCTCTGTCCTTGGCGCTATGCCTTCGTTTCTTCAGCTGTAATATGTGATAACACCTTCTCAGAGGGTTCTGGTGAGAAGGAATGAGACATGCCTGACAGGCCTAAAGCCAGTTAGTTGAATCTGAATGATTCAAATTTTTTCTTTCCCCTTACGCTAGTCAGATATAAAAAAAAAAGGGAAAACTTTAAGGAAATAGAAAATGGAGTTCCATGCACCAACAGCATTTTTTTGGATGGCCAGAAGGGTGTTTAGGTTGCAATAAAACTTAACTATTCCTTTTTAATTTTGACACATTAGTCATCAAGCATTTGTGACATGGAATCATAACTGTTTCTATAGAATTTAAATCGTCCAGTTCACTGGGTCTGCAAGTCACCACCTTCTGCCACCGTAGCTTGATCTCTGCTTCCCCTTTCCCTGCCCTGTTCCTTGGGTCCCAGTCAAGAACATTGTTTCTCTTCCTTTTCCCCCAGTAACTCAGCCTCAGGAACCCAGCTACTTACTCCTCTGGGTAGGGAGACCTTATTCACACCGCTGCCCTGCTTGGCTATTCATTGAACAGGAAGATGATAACAGTTCATGTTTATGGGATGTTTGTCATTTATTTATTTAGTATTTAGTAAGCACCTACTCCTTGCCAGGCACTGTTCTGGGTCCTTGAGCTCTACCAGTGAGCTCTACAAAGATGTTTTTAGCAGGGAAGATGCACAAAAAAACACAACTCAAGTAAACTATGAATTGATTACAAGTTTTTTGGTTTTTTAAAAAGATTTTATTGGGGAATTGGGGGGATGGGAACAGTGCTGGGGAATTGGGGGAAGAGGAACAGACAAGTTGCTGTCGTTTTTTGTTCTTCAGTCTAGTTGTGGAGGGCATTGCTTCACTGGCCCAAGTTGGCACCATCATTGCGCTCTTCCCGT